AAATGATCGCGATTCCACATCCTTCCATTCAGACAAAAGTGGCTAAGTCTGAAGCCGAGCAAAGGTATTTTATCGATATGAATAACTCTCTTGTGTAAACTTTAGTGGAACACATTATCCGGAATGTATTCCCTCTTGTGTAAACTCTCTTGTGTAAACTTTCTATTATAGGTACAAGAAGCTCTTAAGCGTGGTGGATCTTAGCAAAAACTTCTACTTCAGCTACACATATCACCTCGTGTATTGCCTTCAGAAGAACATAGGCAACACTGAGAGAGGAAACGCTCATGACAACACAATGTTTGTGTGGAACTCCTTCTTAACACGCGAGATCAGAAAGATCCTGCAGAATTCCATATGGACAGTTGCATTGGTATACGGATTCTTTCAACAGGTAATAATCAAATGCATGCCTATGTGAATGGTTTAGACTGGAGATTTTTCAAAATTTTGGTAATCTAAAGTCTATTGATCCTTTGCTTTGTCTAGACTAAATGTTCAGTATCTGGTGAGGATTTTGTCTTCACTATCATTGCTCGGCGTTCACGGCATTATGCCGGTACAAGGTACTTCTTCATTTTGAAAGCTTTATTTGCTATGTTTTTCTTCTTCTTTGTGTTTTTTTTCTTTATTTTGTCTCACGCCCTACTTGATCTCTAACATAATTGTAATATTGGACTTACGCATTACCCAAATTGGAATACTCATGAAAGATAGGGGCTAGTCTTGATATGCCTTTGAGCTTAACTCCTTCTTGTTAATGTGCAGATATTTAAGGCGTGGTGTAAATGATATAGGCAGAGTAGCCAATGATGTTGAGACGGAGCAGATTGTTTCCAAAGTGGTTCCTGCGGGTCAGAAAATCCCGATAACATCAGTTGTGCAGATTCGAGGCTCCATACCCCTATTTTGGTCACAGGAGGCATCTGTTTTCAACCCACAGCCCGAGATTATATGTAAGCACCATATGAATTTGCAAAAAGGATCCTTTCTTATCTTGTCTTAATACTCTTGTTTTTGTCTTTTTGGGTCACAGTGAATAAGAAGGACGCAAATTATGTGGCTACCCAACACCACTTTGAGAATCTGAGACAGAGGTATGGGAACCGGATAATAATTCTGAACCTCCTAAAGGTAGGATCTCTCATACATATTCTAGGAAACTCAAATTTCAGTCATTGCTTCTGCCCGTTCTTGGATTATTGAAAGATTGAGTGTATCGTTGCTATTTTGTGTTATCAGACTGAGACAGGTGAGAAAAAGCATCGAGAAACCAGCTTAAGGGCAGAGTTTGCAAAGACAATCCGCTTTATTAACAAAGGCATGGACAAGGAGAATCGTTTAAAGGCAATCCATTTTGATCTAAGCAAACACTACAAAAAGTACTGCATTTATGCACCTATTACTGATTTGTAATTAAGTCTAATATCCTAGAATTGCTAACCATTTTTCCTTCAATTTGGCAGAGGAGCTGATGGTGCATTCAACCACTTGTGTATCTTTGCAAGGAAAGCATTGGAATTAACTGACCTGTTTTACTGTAAAGCTCCTTCAGGTGTAGGAGCTGAAGGAGTAATTTATGATTCATTTTTCAAGTAAGTTTGCCAGTTTGGTATGCTATGTCTAGTGAAAATACAGTCTTCGTGTAACAGTTGCTGTATGTTTACTGCATGTCTCTCGAATACACAATTTTTATTGTATTGCACATTTCTTACCAAGTCCTAATATTAATGCTACCATGCCTCAGTAACCCTATTCCAAGTCAAGATGAAGAGGCGAGTAGTCCAGATAAAGAAGCTTTGAAGGCGGATATATTTATGCTTCAAAATGGGGTCTTGAGGACAAACTGCATAGACTGTCTGGATCGCACCAATTTTGCGCAGTACGCCCACGGATTGGTAGCTCTTGGGCATCAGCTGCGTACATTGGGTATCTCAGGACCTCCTGTCGTCGATCTTAATAATCCTCTGGCAATAGAACTGATGGACGCTTACCAAAAGATGGGTAATACACTTGCGCTGCAGTATGGTGGCTCGGAAGCACACAGCAAGGTGAATTGATTACCAACACATTTTTCCGTACTAGACTTTTGATGGATCTTTGAACTATGTGTATCAACTTTAGAAAGTTTATGGTTTACAGATGTTCTGTGATCTGAGAGGTAACTGGAACATGGTGATGAGGCAGCGTGATATCTTCACAGCTGTACGTCGTTACTACAGTAACGCGTATCAGGACAGTGATAAGCAGAACGCCATCAATGTGTAAGCTCCGTTTTAGAAACTTTTTGTCTCGTTTTTTCGTCTTTACGTTTGCTTCGTGTTCGTTTAGTGTAAATATTATTTCTGTTGACAGGTTCTTAGGGCATTTCCGGCCTCGATTGGGGAAGCCAGCACTATGGGAGTTGGATTCTGACCAGCACAACATCGGAAGATCTGGTTCTAACTTGGATATTGAAAATATGAGGTACTACTTTTGTTGAAAAACTGGCTAAACCAGAAATTAGTCTAAATTAAGTGACATGTAACTGCAAATGACTAATATATCGTCCAATACACGAATTGCAGGCCACTAATTAGAAGATCATTTTCCGATAATATTCTTATGGATTGTGATTTGAATCTGGAGGAGCTGGTACGCGAAAATTCTCAGCCTTCATATGAAGGGTTAAACGGGGGTGTCTCAGGAACCAATTTAGAGTTTCCGTTCTATGAAACTGAACCAGCTTCTCTAAGGTATGAATCAGTCTCTTTAACTTGTTGCAAGTATTCATTAAATACTTTTTCTGACTTTCATCCTCTTTCTTTGATCACATGCATCTTCAGCTTCCTCTCGGTTATGCGCAATGAAGATCTTCGCAGAGAAACAGGGACAGGGCAGATGTTTGAAGGCAGTTCCTCTAATTCTGATTCCCACACGCCCAATGATATACCTGGTTTTGCACACTCATATGCAACTAAATTCACTCCGGCTGAAGAAATATTTGAACGTTGCAGGTAAAAACATTCATCCATATGCATCATTGCTATAGCATCCTGATACATTTACGATATTCAGACATGAAACTTCCTTCTAAGTAAGCCTTATAATAATTTTATAAATGTTTCTTGCAGCTCAAAGTCTGTTTCGTCAGATAACTTGTTCACCGACCTGGATGAATCCGTCACTTCTTTAACTAATACGAACTCCAGTTTTGACGTAAATCTCCTTCATCTACATATCATTCTTATTCAAGTTAACGATTTATCTTCTAAGCTTTCGCAAACAAAGACACTGACTCGTTCGGATATTCCCATTATTTACAGTTTCCTATAATGGGTGGTTCCGATTTGCTACCTGGTTTCTCAAATGCTTTCGCTCGGTGGGTATTCTCCGCAAGAGCATGGTAAAAGAGGGTTTGGAGAAGGAAAGGAGCCTCGCACGGGAAGGTAACGGTGGTTACTTGGCAGGTACGGCAGGGTTGAACAGTGTCAAAATAACAGGAAAGTACAGAATAACAGCCACATCTTGTAAATATCCGACTCACCTTTGTAAAGGTCAAGGTTTCTTGTTTTTTTTTTGTTCCTGTTCTTAGCAAAAATGGATTTCTTTCTTGTTCTTATGTTTGATTTTGTTTTTATGTTTTTGCTATATAGAGGGTTTGGTTTGTTTGTTTGTTTTCCATTTTTTCATAATTTATCACGGCCAATTCATGAACCGCAATTAACTGTGTTATTAGACTTTGGAACCTATTGTGTTAAAAAGTTACCAAAACATATCATCTTGATAAAATTATTACCATTAAACGGAAGAGGCCTGCTTCTCGAGACTGGCCCAAAACACTTTATATCCTTTAGACGACAGGAGCCTTTGTAGTGAGGTGGTTATACCACACCTTAGGCTATCTTGTCACGTCGTGTGAGGTGGTTCAGCAAGACAGCAACACACCTTCCTCCTTTACAGAGTACTTAAAAATGTGGGCAAAAGAAAAAGTGTAACATTTTTAGATGATATGTTTCAAACTCTTTTTAAAAAGTTCATTAAATAAAATCTTTTAACTGGCTGATTAAACCAGGAAAAAGTTGTGACGCACTCTTGGAGAACAAGAAGATCCCAACTGGCTAATTTGCTCTTGCAACTAACTTATTTGTTCAGAATATTTTATTTAATTCTTCTCATTAAGTATTTTGATTTTGTTGGCTGTTGGCTGGCAATTGTTTGCCCACCAAAACCAAAAGCTGTCGGATATTTCTGAGATTAATAAAAAAAAACAGTTCTTTTCTTCACTGTTTAAATTCAATTCGATGAGGTTGGATTTAACTAAACAATAAACGTTCAACCAATAGAGTTGGTATGTTATACACTACATTGTTTACGAGAACCAGGGGTTCTGTCTACAGTTCAGAATATACCAAACGAGTTCTTGATTACACAATTATAGCATTACTAGGCCTGGGCATAATACCCGAACCCGAAGAACCGAACCGAACCCGACCCGAAAAACCCGATCTGAATCCGAACCCGAAGTTTTAAAATACCCGAACGGGTTTTAAACTTCACAATCCGAAAATCCGAACCCGAACCCGAACAAGTACCCGAACATACCCAAATATAAGTATATAGTTATAATATATTAGTAATATTTATACTTGTAATAACCTAAGTGCCTAAATTATTCTGATGTTAAGATATTTCTGGATGTTTTAACTACTTTGGGTTACATTCGGGTATAAAATACTTGAGTTTTATAGATTTTTTGAGTATTTTTCAATACTTTGCATAGAATCGGATACAAAATTTCTAATATTTGGATACTTCGGGTAAACGCGAATCCGAACCCGAAATACCCGATCTGAACCCGACCCGAACCCGAAGTTTTAAAATACCCGAACGGGTCTTAGTTTTCTAAACCCGAACCCGAAAAACCCGATCCGAACCCGACCCGAATATCCGAACGCCCAGGCCTAAGCATTACAATGTCAACATTTATATATTAGTATTTTTTTAAGTATTATATTTTCGAAGAAATATATTAGTGGAGTACATTGAACCGATCACAGAGTCAAATGCACATAAGCAGGATATTGTTTGCGTTTGATAAACAGATTTATATCGGATTCTTTTTTTCAATAAATCATCACAATGATTACTACTACTAATTAATCAGCATTAATCACCATCACTAAGGTATTTAACTAATGGTCTCGGCGATTATTTTGTTGTTTGATTTCTCTTAGGCTAAACTATTGATAGAAAAAAAGTTTGGATCATTTTATAAAGGTTTTCTAAACTTTAACTTTAATTATTAGCTGACCGTCGACAATGTGCAGTTCGATAAGGACACATATGCTAAGGTTTTCTTATGCCAAATAAAATATATTTTGTTTTATGATTTCAATTGTTGAATTTGTTTTTTATTCAAGAAAGTACAAATACGTATAATTAAATGGGCCGCTTGTGTTCAAAAAATAAATATATAATAATAACTAAAAAGTATTAATTTTTGTATGTAATAACTAAAAAGCTAAATTACTATATACCCTATTACTTCGGCCAAAACTGTAATTGTAAGCGCGACACTAAATATAATGGAGATCTTATCTCAAACATGATGTAATCTTTATCTAACACCCTTGCTTGGTCCGATTCATTGCACAACAATACACAAGAGAAGATTGTCCACATACACACGTAGGGACATATATCAACATGCATCCACATACCTATATATAATATACAATATAGATTTATTAAATTAAAATACAGAGCAAGGAGACACCAGTTTTACGGATTCTGTAGCCTCCTTTTATCTTTCTTAGCTGTTCTCTTTCTCTCCTTGTCCCTCAATATAAATACAAACGAACCCAATACTTCCTTCTTACGTACCAAGAAAGTTAGTTTCTCAATTCTTGATTAAACATACACAAAACAATAACCTTAATTTCAAGAAACTACTATTGTTAAAAATCAGAGATTTTCCCTAGCTAATGGCTATATTCGGGAAACTGACAAAGCTCAAATCAGCCATAAAGAAATGGCCTTCCTTGACCAAGAACCACCATTCAACCACCGTGTCTACAGCCTCTACAGCCGCATCCGATGTCTCAAAGTGCGGAGATCTCCATGTGGTTTACGTCGGAAAGTCACGAAGACCTTACATGCTTAGTTCCCACGTCATCGCTCATCCGCTTTTCCAAGAACTACTTGATCGGTCTTTGAGATTCGCCGTTGAACATCACGATCAAGAGACAGTCTTAGTAGCTTGTGAAGTCGTATTGTTCGAGCACTTGTTATGGATGCTCAAGAACAGTTCCTCTGATCACGGCGATGACGAAGATGATGATGATCGCGAAAGAGGATCCGTCGAGGAGTTGGCTGAGTTCTATACTTATTGACGGCGCGATACATATTCTTATAATATATACTTTATTTCGTTAATTTTGGAATTGATTCGACATGATCAAATGCGGTCATGCACAAACCATTTCCTTTGCTTTTGTTCAAATTTTTAGAATTAGTACTCTTTAACTAATAGTATAATTATGTCGGACGAAAGAGGGTAGTGATCTTTGCCTAATGATGATAAATCGTAACAATGCTAAAATTTATCTTTTATTGATTTTGCTCCATTTTTATGTACATGTATTCTTCAGTACGTAGTTATTTATATATATATATGCATGTTATGAGATTTTCGAAAGAATAAAATTCGCCGCCACGTGATGATGCGCAGGGCTACCCAATTGCACGGACGGTCCTACTTGCCCTTCTAGTGGCAGCAAGCTAGCTGTCATGGAAGTATATTATAAAATTACTAACTACGTCTATAAGTAAGTGTATCCAAGTTGTAATGTATTGAGATCATGGTTTGATACCGGTTATCTGCGGTTTAATAGGGTTTATCAGTCTTGGTTTAATGTCATTGGTTTATTGTATATATAAGCTTAAGCACACATTTAATATTCAATTAGATTGTAACAAACATTCAGGATGATTGAATAAGATTCTGTTAAACCTCTCCGATCTTTCTTTTCTTCCGTTTCACCGGAGTTTCACCGGAGTTAATATGATATCAGAGCTACTCTTTTGAGCTTCCGCATTCTTCATCGGAGATGAATTTTCACCATGATGTTATAATACACCCCCCCTCAAGTATGTATGATGCATGTATGATGGTTTGGTTCATCAAATCAGGTATGATGGTTAAAATGAGTTTCACCGGAGTTAATATAATGTTAAGTGTAATTAGGTAGAAACTTCTTGGACTAATTAATTAAACATGACTACGATGTATATAGGCTGATGCTCCTTAATTATTTATGTAATTCTTTATATATGTCACGCTATGTAGGTAAGTGCAGGGCCGGCCCGCAGGACAGGCCACCCAAGCCACCGCTTGGGGCACCACAATTTTTTTTTTTTTTTTTAAGTTTTTTTTTTTTTTTTGGTAAAAAGGCCCATAAAATGAAAATATTTGGTAGAAACTAAAGTCTTTTTCGAAAAAAATAAATAAAATAGGGCCCAAACAATTAAATTTGAATGTAATAATATTCAAAATATCATTATTTTTGTATAATTTACTAAAAATAGGTCAAAAAAAAAATTTAGCCCTAAAACTTATAAATATATTGGGCCTCATTTTATTTTTCGTGTAGGGCCTCACAAATGCTCGGACCGGCACTGGGTAAGTGATATCCTTGCACTGAATATAATATTTTCATAGTCGTACGCCTACAATGAATTCTGTAATTTAAACGTTGAAAACAAATATTCGTGTTAATTGAAATTTCTTCATTTACTTTTTTGACTATTTTTCATGGTTAGTTTTACGAATTTTTTGACACTTTGTGGATGTATTTTGTTTTTCAAAGAAGTGTTTTACTATTGGGCAATGTATTGGAGAACTTGAGCCAAAATAGGCCCATATTATAAGATTGGTCTCACAAAACGACATCGTGTAGTAGAAACGGCAACGTGCAGCTTGATGGTCTTCAGGCTGTTGACTGTTAATCGGTAAACCGAGGCTGATTGTGCGACGGTCGCGACGGTGACGGCAAATCCAGTGAGTGAGCTCTTTTCATCTTCGTTGCATTTAGTGGATTCCCTAAAACTTTAGATAATTTTGGTTTGTTCTTAGCATTGGGCTTGTTCTAATTATCAGATCTTCTTGTTTTGAGTTTTTTTTTTTTTTTTTTTTTTTTTTCTCTGTGCATTTCGGAGCAGAAGACGAATTGTAATGTCAAAAATTTTTACCAGCGTCTGTGATAAGAGTCGGGTTTTTCTCAAGGATTTGGTGACAAGCTGTTTTTTATGGCCGTCTGCAATTGTGATTACCTTATCGATTTTTTAGCTTACAAGGTGTTTGTTGAAATGCTTCAACGGGAAATTTTCTTAGTCCCCACCCTCAGTGGTTTCTGTTTATAATGCGTCAACTTCTGATATAGCTAAACTTTCAAAGACATTACCTTTTATACATTTCTGGGGTGTGGTTCTGATCATTGAGGTTTTGTGTGTGTGATTTGGTGATTAACATTGAAAATTGGAGCTTTAATTCCTAACAGTCATTGTTTTATATCTTTTTTCTTAGTTTTCATCTGGGAAAGCAGCTACAGAAGACATGTCGAGGTTTCGATCGTTGTTGCAAGCCTCAGTAAATGCCACAAAGAAGGGTATTCACCTGCCACTTCTCCGTCAATTATGATTTCCTTTTATTCATATGTGCTTGTGCTTTTACTTATTAGATAGTGACGGATGTTTGATGAAAAAATGACGTTGGTTCTATGTTGCAATACTCGCACATTTTTTGGATTACAGTTTTATTTCTCTAGTAGCCTTTATGCTTTGGAATATAGTAGCTAGTGTCTGACTTATCTTCACCATTCTACAAACTGGTAGCTCTTACATGGAACGTTGAAGAATGGGTACCACCTGCAGAGAAGCATATATTTAAGTTCAACTCGAAAGAAGACTTAAAGAAATGGCATCTCTATTCCGATTCTGAATATGGAGGTACTTAAGCAGTCAGGTTCAAGTCCGTTCAACCATCTGCTCTGTAAAGAGTATCTGATATTGTTTCTGTTGTTATTGTCCCTTTCATTTCCATGCCTCGGTGACCCATATGAACAACTACCGAGACAAATTAAGATTTCTGAAGATCGGCATTGCACAGATTTTCATTGATTTGTAAACAATATGCTATGCATTTTAATATTTATCTAATGGCAACATGTTTGATACTTATTTTACAGGATTATCTTCGGCTTCCTTGGAAATCCCAGATAAAGGAGATGGATCAGATTGCACTGGTTAGCAACTTAGTAATTTCTTCTGTGATCTATCATCTGCCCTCCAGCATGTCTTGTTGTCATGAAGTTCATCAATAAAACAATATGAGATTTCTTCTGTGTCATCATTTCTTAATTTCTCGTTGTGTTTCTACACTACTCCACTTAGTGATGTTTTCCACCCAAATATCTTTTATAGGAATTTTCTCGGGGAACCTATCTTTGGACCTCAGCGAAGGATCAAAATGGAACATCAGTCGAAGTGGTTTCTGTGGAATGCGCTCAAAGAAGGTTAACAACAGAGAGCTTTCATTTTTCCTACAAAACATTCTTATTCAAAACATATTTTCTGCATGTCAGTCTTTGTTTGAAGAAAAGAAGAAAAATGGGTTACTATATCTTCGTCCTGGTTTTGTAAACGAGATGTTTTGTGTCAGCTTACTATTGCAACTAATTCTACCATCCTCTGCTTTTGCAGTTTGATGGCTTCATTGATCTCGATGGGTATGATGCAATAGCCCTGAGGCTCAGAGGAGATGGAAGATGTTATATCTCTACAGTAAGTTTTATGTTGATACTGACTTTACCCTAACTGCAGTTGAAACAACATATGTTCTAGGAGCAAAAGGGTTGTTATACTAAACCTTGATTTTGATTCAGATCTATACCGAAAACTGGGTGAATTCACCGGGACAGTCAGAAGATAACTCGTGGCAAGCTTTTGTTTTTGCTCCAAAGGACAGTTGGTATACTGCTAAGGCAAGTCCTACTACTTCTATAGATGTTACCAACAAAGAGCTTTAGAGCATTTTTTTACACATCCTTTTTATGTTTTTTTAAAAAATTCTTTAGATAAAACCTCCATCTGTAGATGAAACCCTAACCAAAAAGACAGATCGCGATTATGAGTTGACTTGAATGTTTCACTTCTAGTCTAAGGCGTATTAATAACCTGAGGTTGAATGTATCAGATTCCTCTAGCTAGATACTTGCCAACATGGAGAGGAAATGTTATAGATGTGGAAATGGAGATGAATCCAGGTCGTGTTCTGGGTATGTCACTGTCGGTAAATGCAGAAGGTGGTGCGGTTGGAGCTAAATCAGGAGCAGGTGATTTCCGAGTAGAAATTGACTGGATCAAAGCCTTGAGATTGCCATAAATGTTGAACAATATAGCAATGTATGATGTTTTTTTTTGTTGTTCTTGGTTTTAGCTTGTAAAAACCAGGCCTGAGTTGATGATACTTGATGGCCAAAAGATTGTTGCATTGTCTTGCGGCAAAGTTGGTTTTCATATTGAGCCATGTTTTTACCATGTGATAAAATAAAAAAAATCAACATAATCAAAAGGTATTCTTAACCTTGTGTTTTTCAGCCTCTCCTTATTGGTCAACTAGTTTGTTATATAGTTAACAATGTAATGGTCGTGCTTGAATATGTGAGAGTACGGTAGTACTAAATCGGTGGAGCGAATACGTTAATAAAATTGTACAACCTGTTTCCATTATGAACTTACAAAAATAAAATGCAAATTGAATTTAACAAGGATATTAGTGACTTATTAGCTTATTTGTTGAAATAATAACTAAAACTATCAAAATGCTCTATTTGTACAATTTATAGTGTAAAGAAGTTTATGTTTTACATAGGTTAGTTACCTTCACTTGAACCCAAATGGCCCTATAATACTCTCTGTGCTCTCTTCTCTTTGATCTCTTTGAGTCCAACCAAACTAAAAGTTTAGATAGAGAGAGACACACGTGTAGTCACCGACTCGTCAGATGGTGGGACAGCTGTTTTTTCTTACTGTCCAATCTGCACCGTTGGATCTACTCATTGCGTTTATTTTTGCCTTTTTGTTCTGTACATAGTCGCTTGATGATGCGGTTGTTTCAGTGGATAGCTGGACCCATTAAACCACCTCTGCTTTAGTTGGTGGGTTCCATGGTGAAGAAAAAAAAAAGCTGCAAACTTTTGCTTTGTTTGGTACATCTAAACCAATCTAATTTCCTCTTCCGATTTGTCTCGGTTCGAATCTGGATTGATGGCTTTACAGAGTGTGTAGAGTAAAATCGGATAATTCATTTCATTTTCAAGGGAAAATATTTCATGCATTTGAGAACCATCCTGTTCTCATGTGGATTAGTGTTGGTTTATATACTAACCGGTTTGCCCATTTTAAATATGTATAATAAGTATATAGCTAATCAATTAAGTTTGATTTTGATCAATCAATCATTCGTCAAAGTTATAAAATTTTTTTTTAATATATTACTATTAATGTTAAGCATGAAGGAAGATTAATAAAGAGAGATTAATAATTGACGAAAAGACACATGGGACAAAAGGAAGAAATGAAAGAGAATGAGAAGAACATGTCGCATGTGCTTAAGTTTACGTCATACCGACAATCTAGAAGCATCTTCTTCATCACTAATAAGGTCTCTTTTGTTGTAGGAAATAAATAGATTTTATTTTTCAAATTACCATTTTTTTTCTTTCTTAATTAGTTGCTTCAAGCTACTTTTAATAAGGGGTTAAATGTAGGGTTTGGCCATTTGTGGCTTTTAGACTTTTGTTACATTTGATTTGATTAATGTTGATGTAGTATATTTATTTGAAAACATAGACACTAATTTGGGCAATGAAAACGATATTTAGATATATCTTTGATAATGTGAAGAACAGGGGTAGCTTGAGTTATGATTATAAACGCAAGACGCTTCTTCACTCAGCAGCACTAAGCTTGCCTCCAAACCAATCCCAGATCTGAATCTAAACCTCTCAAAATCTCTTCTCATCATCATGGCTTCTTCTTCTAACTACGATGGAATCCTTCTCGGAATGGGTAACCCACTCCTCGATATCTCTGCCGTCGTCGACGACGAATTTCTCACCAAATACGACATCAAGTTGAACAATGCGATTCTCGCTGAGGACAAACATTTGCCCATGTATGATGAGATGAGTAGCAAGTTCAATGTTGAATACATTGCCGGAGGTGCTACTCAGAACTCAATCAAAGTGGCTCAGTGGATGCTTCAAATTCCTGGGGCAACCAGTTACATGGGATCCATTGGAAAGGACAAATATGGAGAGGCCATGAAGAAGGATGCTACAGCAGCTGGTGTCAATGTTCACTATTATGAAGATGAGTCGGCACCTACTGGAACTTGCGGTGTCTGTGTTGTTGGTGGAGAAAGGTCTCTTATTGCGAATCTTTCAGCTGCAAACTGCTACAAGGTTGATCACCTTAAGAAGCCTGAAAACTGGGCATTGGTTGAGAAGGCCAAGTTCTATTACATTGCTGGATTCTTCCTCACAGTATCGCCTGAATCCATTCAGTTGGTATCTGAGCATGCTGCTGCAAACAACAAGGTGTTCACAATGAACCTTTCTGCTCCATTCATTTGTGAATTCTTCAAAGATGTGCAGGAGAAGTTCTTGCCATACATGGACTTCGTTTTCGGCAATGAAACAGAAGCAAGAACCTTCTCCAGGGTTCACGGCTGGGAGACTGAAGATGTCGAACAAATAGCCATCAAGATTTCACAGCTTCCCAAGGCCACGGGAACATACAAGAGGACCACTGTGATAACACAGGGCGCAGATCCAGTGGTTGTTGCTGAAGATGGAAAGGTGAAGAAATATCCAGTCATCCCTCTCCCAAAAGAGAAGCTGGTTGACACCAACGGTGCAGGTGATGCATTTGTGGGAGGATTCATGTCACAGTTGGTGAAAGAGAAATCGATTGAGGAATGCGTGAAAGCTGGATGCTATGCGTCGAACGTGGTGATCCAAAGATCTGGCTGCACTTACCCTGAGAAGCCCGACTTTAACTAAACTATTGGGTCATCCTCAGCTTTGTGATATCTTCCAAATAAAACAACCTTCGATTCAACAAACTCCCACGATTATTGCTTGAGTGTACTTTTTACCATTTTTTTACCAAAATTTTTTGTTAAAAAAAAAAAAAAAAAAAAAAAAAAAAAAAAAAAAAAAAAAAAACAGGGGTAGCTTTTTTTTTTCTTTTTGTTAAAAAGTGAAGAATAGTATTACGCGTTCACATTACGTGTTTTGTTAATAATTATTCCATAAAGATTCATATCAGATATTAGAAAATTATATGCACATTACTGTACGATTTCTAGAAATTATTTTATTATTAGAACTCATTTTCTTATGGTAAAAAAGAAGACTTTATATTCTTACATATGCGATCGTTAGATAAATATTTAAGATCTTTTACATGTTGTCATGTTGATGAGACAATGGATTTTTTTCTGAAAATTTTCCATACATTGAAAAAGAAACATCGCAAAGAAGTGGATAAAATTAAAAACTACGAAATTTTGGACTCATTTATCTTCTACAAGGATTGCCATACAAACAAAAGAAAATATATTCTTAAATTTGATCAGAAGAAACAAAAAAAAAAAAAAATAATATGAGGTTGACAAAATTAAACAAAAATAAATAAATATAAATGCGACTTTCGATTCGTTGTCTCTCTCTCAAACGTATTAATAATAAGTTTGTTTCCCAAAAAAAATAGTATGACCGTTAAAAATCGATCATTGGATGTTTCCATGTTTGGTCCACATAGTAGAGCCTTGACCACATCTCTCCAACTGAGTTTTGGTTATTACAAGATTGGCCCCATAAACCACTTCCTATACCAAAATTATGAAATTAATTAACCAGATACGTTGAGAGTAATTCCACTGGCCAATCCAAAGTCCAAACTACTAATAGTCTAATACAATCGAATATCTCTAGCAGGTTTGATGTAGATAAGCTGTATACTTAAACATATGTGGAGACAAATGGTCCAAACCGGGTTTTATTGTTATTGATTAATCCGGTTTACTCGGAGGGTAATTTGGTAAACTAAAAATTGGGTGGTATCTTCGTCTTGACTACTACTACTCTGCGTCATTTCGTATTTTTCCCATTACAGACTGTTATGTTACGCCAAGGGAAAAAGAAAAGGTGAAAGGTGTCCCAAGCAAGCTCTCTCTCTCTCTCTCTTTCTCCACACGTTATATATCCTACAGTATTCTTACACAAAGAGACTGTGTGTTTCAGGGCTTGGAAATAGAGAGAAAGAGAAAGAGCAAAGAGAGATAAAGCAAACGTCTTCTTCCATTTGGTAGAATAAAAAAGATTGCATTTTTCAGCAAAACTTCCATTTGGTAGAATAACAAGTATTCAGACACTGTTAAGGCTTCTTGTGCTTTTTTTCTTCTTCTCTTCAACACCCATATCTGAGGATCAGAACTCAAGTTTACTAAACTTTGGATAGTAACCGGAAGAAATCGAATTCTGTTTCAATGCTGGATCGGTTATGTCGTAAGTTCCTCGACTTTTTTTTTTGTATTAGCTCAAGTTTCTTGCTTTTGATTAGATGGATTTTTTTGCCTGCTTTTTAGTATCAGAATTTTGGGAATTCTGTTTTCTGGGATGTGTAAAGTTGGGATTTTTGGAATTTGTCTTTTGGGTTTTAGTGTTGGGGTCAGATCCGTTTCAATTTTTGTGGTTATTGGAGCTGCGTTACTTTTATCTTGAATTGTGGTTATTGTTACATTTAATTTACTCAATTTTACTCTTTTGTGGTTTCCTCAGATTTCATTTGATTATCTTATGAATGATTCACATTTTGGTCTAAGAAAGAGGCTTTGACTTGTGTCATAAACATGAAGCCTGATACTGTTCTTGACTATGCTGTGTTTGAGCTTTCCCCAAAACATTCGCGGTTAGTAAATCTTTTTCTCTTAGGGAAATGTTCTTTCTCGACATTGATCATGCTTTGTAGTTTTGACCTCAGTTTAATATATATATATATATATATATATATATATATATATATATATATATATGTGTGTTACAGATGTGAACTGTTTGTATGGATTCATGAAGAAAGAGAGAAACTAGCTTCAGGATTAATAGAACCATTTGTGAATCATTTGAGAGTTCTTCAATCACAAGCTTCGCAGAGAGACCAATGCTCTGTTAGACTCCAAGTAGAACAAAGCGAAAATGGCGAATCTTGGTTCACAAGAAGAACATTCGAGAGGTCTCAAAGAACATTTTGTTTTCTTACTTTTACACAAATATTTTCGTTAGCTTAACAATCTTTGACCTTTTCTTATTGTTCTTTTCCAGATTTGTTCAATATGTTAATAGTCCTCAAGTTTTGGAAAGAGTCGTTACATTTGATTTGGAAATGTCACAGTTGGAAGCAGCTCGGACATTATATTCTCAAGGTGTCTTTCATTTTTCATTAGCTTGATCATATTCATAGCTTTACAAGTGAACAAACGTGATACTATTTTTTCTCTTTCTCCTTTTCTGTTTCAG